GCATGGGTGCATGGGTGCATGGGTGCATGGATGGAACTTTAACTTGGCTCTGAGAAAGAGTCCTGCAGGGGTGGGTGAGACTGTGTTGACACAACAGCAAAAGACTGCAATGGTACAATATACACTAGACTTTCTTAACATTAACCATGTTTAGTTCTGTCAGTATGTGTGCCTTAGCATTCTGTGCATCAACCCCTTTGGTTAGTTTATGGTTCAAGGCATTGTGCAAATCCAAAAAATGATTCAGTAACTGGTTTATGTATGTTGGCTGAATGCAGCTTGTTTGGTTGCTTACATATGTGTATGCACACATACAGGTAGTCCTCGCTTAGCGACCACAATTGGGACCAGCAACTCCATTGCTAAGTGATGCGGTCTCTAAGCAAAAATCATGTGACTATGACAGACTTACGACATCACTTCCCATTCAGTCATTAAGTGAGTCACTGTGGGTTGTTAAGCAAAACATTATGTGACCATGACACGTGATTATACTGCCAGCTTCTCCATTAACTCTGCTTGTCGGAAGCCAGCTGTGAAGTGCACAAATGGCAGTCACATGACTGCAGGACGCTACAATGGTTATAAACACCCACCAGTTACAAAGCACCCAAATGTTGATCGTGTGACCATGGAGATGCTGCAACAGTTGTAAATGCGAGGACTGGTCATAAAGTTATTTTTTCAGTGCTGTTGTAACTTTGAATGGTTGCTAAACAGGGCAGTTGTTAAGCAAGGTCTACCTGTATACACATATGCACGCATATCCATTCTGAGAAGAATATTTTTAAACAATTATCCCATGAGAACATATTGAGAAGCCCTGCTTGTTGCAACAGACCTGTTTCAACCCATTGGCAGTCACCTGACCATGCTTGTTTCATCTCTTTTGACTCTACAAGGTATGGCAGAAAATCGATGAGTTTGTGCGAAAATAAATCTGAACTCTCAAGCTTGGAGACGGCAAACAACCGGGACCGGAACGTGAGCCCCAGCACCAGGCAAAAAAGAGGTAGGCAGCGCAGAAGACCATCTTGTTGAAAGGCTAGAAGAAATGGCCCATGGGGCAGAAACTCTTAGGCAATTAGACTATGAAAATGGGGACCAATACAGTGAAATTGTTGACTCTGTCTTGCTCTTGCAGATAAGAGATTCCCCTGTTATAGGGCTTGCGTACAGTTGAGACACCATTTCTGTGGTCAGGTTGCATAGGCATGGAAAGGATCAACCTTGATCTCTCCTCTCCTCATCTGATGTACTGAATGCTTAGGGATGGCTAGGGGTAGGGGAATCCAGCGACACAGTGATCGGTACCTGGAGGCAGCTACAGCACAACTTTTGAATTACCTGCAACTTGGCTACTTGCGAACTTTCAGACTGATGCAGCTGAAGATAGAACCTGGGGCCTTTTGTATGGAAAGCAGACACTTGGCTCTCTATCTACCCAAGCTTGGGATCACCCAAGAATAATTGATTGATTATGTGCCATCAAGTTGGTGTTGACTCTTAGCAACCACACAGATTTTCTCCATGATGACCTGTCCCTAAGCTGGTCTGGGGGTTTATTAACGTGATTTAATAATTACTAAAATAATTTTAAACATGAAAATTTAAGAGTGATGGAGAATGTGGCAAGGTCACCAAATCTGGAGAGAGTGTAGCTTTCTGATGTGAGATTTGAGAGACTGCAGAGGGAAAAGTGCTGATAGTTTTATTCCAGGAGAGGTGGTTGTGACCTGACCATCAACCAAGATTGCACAATGCCACTCACAGACTGAAGTGGTCACCAGCCGCTACTGTAGACAGCAGACTGAGAAACATATGAAGCTGACAGCTACTGCCTTTTGTGGGTTATGTGACTCCTCCATAGCATGTTTTCCTGCAGTGACTGCTGCGTATAAACCAGGTGGAAATGGAGCCAGCTTAAGAAATCCCTTTCTGGATTTTAACCTCTTCCTCTGCTTTGGCTGTGAGTGGTATTCTGTCTGGATCGTGCTGACCTTGGCCCCTGATTGGTGAATTTCCCTGCTTCTTGATCCCATGCCAGGAAAGCAAACACCAGTTGCTGTGCTTTACGTGGTAGATCTTTGAGGACATGTAATTTGCAATAGTAGACCATTTGTGTGAGCCCCAAATGCTGATCCTCCCTTGTACTTGACATCTTCCCATCTGATGCATCTATGGGAGGGAGGG